TCAGTGATGATCCCGGCCTATTCCAAGAACCGCGCCTACGCCGCCTTCTTCATCGTCTTCACCCTGATAGGTGCGTCTGGGGCTGTGGGGTCTCTGGGGCGCCGGGGCGGGGTCGTAGTGCTGCGCGGCTCCGATCCCGTGTTTCACCCCAGCGTGCCCTCCCTGCTTGTGGTGCGTGGTCACCCTGGCCACGTTGGGGGCCAGGCAGGCACAGTCTTGAGCGTGGGCTCCAGGCCGCCTGGTGGACACCCGCGGCTTGCGGGGCCCCATCCCCCCGGGGGCTGCCCCGCTCCACCGTGGCTGCCTCTGCAGGAAGCTTGTTTTTGATGAACCTGCTGACGGCCATCATCTACAACCAGTTCCGGGGCTACCTGCTGGTGAGCAAGCCCGCACTGCCGGCCCAGGAGGGAGGCGCCCAGTGGGCATGGGGACCGCCCTGGCCCCTCTGGGAGCCCGAGCTGGCCTTCCCTGCTCCTCCGTGCTGCCTCGGGGTTCGCTCCCCGCCTGCCTCCAGGACCGCTCTCACCCCCAAGCCCCTGCAGAGGCTCCCCGGCCTAGGGCGGCCCCCCGGCCGCCGGGGTGGGGGGCCCTGAGTGGCCCCTCAGGGCCCCGTCCCTGCAGAAATCCCTGCAGACCTCTCTGATCCGGAGGCGTCTGGGGACCCGGGCGGCCTTCCAGGTGCTGTCTGCGGCTGCCGAGGGGGCGGCCCCCGCCCAGGGGTGAGTGCGGGGCTCCTGGCGCCTCCTCTGGGGAGGGTGTGGCTCGGGCCGGTCCAGCCCTGCTGGCTGTGCAGGCGGCTTCAGAGTCCTGCCCTGGGCTCGTGCAGTTCTGGGGCTCCTGGGCCTAGCGCCCATCCCCGCTCTCCCTGCGCCCGCTGCTGGCGCTGGGCTCAGAGGCCCTGGCGGGGGTCTGTGGGCCCCGACTGCTGCTGCTCTGTGGGCTGGGGCCTCGGGCGGACCTCCTCGCGGGGGGCCCTGGGCCCCTCTTCCGGCAGGGCCTGCAGGGGCGCCTGGTGCTGGGGTTCTTGGGCACATCGGCGGGTGGGTGTGTGTTTCCCACAGAGTTGGGGTGAAGCCCCAAGAGTTCCTGCAGGTGCTTCAGAAAGTCCGGCTGGACAGCACCCGCAAGCAGTCCATCATGGAGGTATCAGCCCCCAGCTGCCGTCCAGCCTGTGCGGCGGGCCCCCGGTGGGCAGGGGTCGCTCAGGGCAGCCGGGCCGGCCTCGCCGGTGGGA